TCAATTACAGGAACAACAAATCATATTCTGTTTCATTTCACCTTAAAATAATCCATAAAAAAAAAACAAGGATTGGGGATTTGTGTTGTGTTATTGTTGCTCACTAAGTAACAGCCCTTCTCACAGAATGCAACAGGCAGACATTCTCACATCATTACTGTAGTATAAATAAATATGGTTTACCTCAGGGGTTGCCGGACCATAATGTCTCTCATGTGGTCACAGATGGCCTTGGCTGCAGACATGGCGCTGGACAGCTTCCTGGCCTTGATGACGGCAGCGCTCTCTGCTGCACTGTCTGCAAAACAGAACATGACCATCACATGAAACAGTGGGCAGTCAATGGGATTGTGAGCAGAATAACTGAGCCTATCAGGATAGTGTTATTAGCTGTGTGTCTAGTTTTTGTTTTTATTTGTCAAGGTTTTGAGATAATGTCTGCAAATCCTCTGGAGGTTTAAGCTTTAAAATACATATTTGAAAGATGAAATAACTTTTATTCTGAAACAATTACTTATGTCACTTTCAGTCCCATTACCAGCTTTACGAATTACATACAAATAAATGTGATGTTCTGTGTTTTTGTCAAGTGACATTTGTTTGACAGGCCAGGCTAAATGTCATCAGATTTTGTTTTTGAACCGTGTGATTTTCATATACTTTAGCAGACCTGTAGAGTATTGGTTTCTCATATTCTGCATTTTAAGCATCAGTCACAGGAACCATGTAGAAATATATCTCACAGTCCAATAGTTTCAACTCACAGCGATGAAATCTCCTTTGAGCCAGGCGTCATCCTTGACAGCCTCAAAGCAGGCGAGCTCGCTGCCGGACATGTTGACCAGGCAGTGGTGCACGTCGGGGTACTGGGTGGACGAGTGGTTGCCCCAGATGATCACATTCTTCACATTGGTTGCAGGGACGCCACAGCGCATCGCCACCTGCAGGACAGGAGAACAAAGTCAGGTTAAAGTCTGGGAATCTAATGGCGCATTTCCACTACACGGTCGGCCTCGGCCACACTCGGTACGGCTCGGTACGGCTTGGGCGTTGGGCCTTAACAGGGCCGACTCACTTCATGCTGCGCTTCCATTACAGTTTAGGAACTGGGGTAGTTACTATAGTAACGCAGTGTAGGCGGAGCCGTGACGTCATCTTCAATGAGAACTCCAGAAACACAACACAGCCGTTAGCTGTTAGCACTCAGAGCTCACAGCTCCTTATATATGTTCAGAAACTCGACAAAAGTTAAACAAGTACAAACCACAGACTGCCTGTGTCATGGTGAATACAGTCGCTGCTTTATTTATGTCTGTATAGGCCGTTGTTGTGAGTGTGGACGGTCGGAGCATATACTGCGTTAGCTTAGCCAATCTCCATTTAGAAAACAAGCATTTTAAAAGGTTTTTCGCCTGCCGTCTGTCTGCAGACTTGACAAAGCATTAATTCATGGTTTTACTAACCGGTATCAGTATGTTGTTACTTCGGCATCATTTGAAACGTGTATTACAATTAAATCACGGTAAAATATGTCCATCTTGTTGTAGTTCTAGCCCTCTTGCCAGCGCTCCTCTCTCTAGTTTAGCATACTCAGCCCGACTCAGCCCTGTTTGTTGGCCCCGATAGAACCACAATTTTGTCGGGCCAGAAAAAGAGGTGAAAAAGTGGCCCCGGGCCGTGCCGCGCCGGGACTAGGCCTAGTGGAAGCGCAACCAAAAACGGGTACGGCACGACACGGCACGCTTAAAGCGAGCTCCGCGCTGTAGTGGAACTGCGGCATAATATGTGAAGACAAGTTTTGAAGTACAAATGTGACTCTAAAGGATGGTACCTGAGAGCGGGCCCTGTTGTGGTCCAGACGGGTGAGGCAGGAGAAGTTCTCTTTGGGGATGGAGGGAGCAGACTTGGCTGCAATCAGACAGTTGGTGTTGGCAGGATTTCCTACAACCAGCACCTAAAAACACAAAATGAAAACTTAAAAATAAAACCTTAGGGACTCGTCCTTTCTAACTTAATGTAACCTCATCATTAACAGATTAATAACAGCTCACTTGTAGTCCTGTCATTTTAATCTGTAAATGACTTCTGTGTTTGTTGTTATTTTATGATAATTTATGAATTCTAATCTGTATGTAAAGGGTCTTTGTGTACCTTAAAAAGTAAAAAAATGTATTACTATTCATATTTGTTCCTTTGGATAGAGTAACTTGATTTAAAAGCTGGCCCGTAGGATCAAAATGTTATTCTTACACATCCCCTTAACAAGCAAACTTGTAATAGGCTTTTTACAATAGAACAAATATTTACACAGCAACAAGAGGGCTCTGAAAAATGGCAATCATCCAAACAATGCAATACAAGCAATTTAGCCAGAAGCAGAATAGTTTAATCTACAGCCTTCGACACGTTAAAAAAGTTTTAAAAAGGAGTGGACGTGTCGTTAAATGTGCGTGTCAGTGCAGGTCTAAATTGCCTGTCAGTACCTTCACAGTCTTCTTGGCGTACTTCTCCAGGGCGGATCCCTGGCTCTTGAAGATGGCCACGTTGGCCTTGAGCAGGTCCTTCCTCTCCATGCCTTCCCTGCGGGGCATCGAGCCAACCAAGATGGCGGCGTCCAGGTCCTTGAAGGCCACTTCCTCCTTGTCAGTGGGGATAATCTCTGTGGAAAAATAAACATTACTATTGCTGGTTGAAGGTTTATAATCATTAATTCACACGGTTTACTCCTTGACAAAAAGTAACTTTACGATAAAACTTGAAGCACAAGGTTTTACAGTTTTGTCAATGATTTTACTAACTTTATCTGTCAAGGTTTTGAGATAATGTCTGGAATGTTTCTGAAGATTTAAGCATAAAGAAAATGACATCTGTTTCTTGGCGTGCTTCCCTAAGGCAGCTCCCAGGAGTTTCAACTTTCTTCTAAACTGACATTTATTTTTGTTCTTCAGTATTTTTGTTTTCTAGCTGAAAATTACACACAGGTATTGACTATCTCAGGCCCATTTGTAGCTCATATTAGTGCCATTTCTAGGCCAGGTCTCACTGTTAAACAGAAACAGGTTCTCAGTTGTATTCCAAATAATTATCCTCTCCCTTAAACAATTATACCAGAGGAAACAAAGTTAACAGCCAAAGTCTTGTCAGTCCACATGTCTGACAATTAATAACTGGGACATTTCTCATTCAAAACCTTTTGCACCCTTTCTAAATGACACACATTTGGTCTGTATCCCATGTGTGAGCAGTATTGTATGGCTGGGCCCATCTCAGTGCATGAAGCGTTGTCTTTGCAGCACAGTTGGTTAATACAGGGGCCTCTCACATCCCATGTCCAAACAAAGCAAAGGACAGCACCAATTCAAAGGAAAAATTCCAGGTCACAATGGAGATGGCACATAATGGTGCCTCACGACTGATGTCATGATGGCAGTTACACTGATGACACCAAAAGTCCCAATAAAAACCAGTGCCTATAGTTATCAAGTGTCTTTGAGAAGGAAATACGTCCGAACTGTATAAGCCGCCCTTCTTACAGTGACAACTATTTGGTCCTTGGAGAAAAAGCATTACAAAAATCCATAGCATTAAAATGTATCCATCTCCAATAGTTAGGAGAGCTGCATAGCAAGTGGTGAATAATATTCTGAGAGGTGTAGTAACATACAAAAAGAGATTTCATTTGTACCTCAATGTTTTGTTCCGGATTCAGCAACTATGAAACATTTGTCCTCCTATACTGGTTTATGTAATATTTAATTTAAATGTATGTATGCATGTATAATCCTTGATGGGATGGACAAATAGCCTCGGTGTGATCAGATGCTCAGCTACCACTGGATATCATAAGCGGACAATCATCCGTGCCTTAGCATACCTTATTATTTTAGTAGACAGCATATGGTCACAATTAATAGGCTTTACCATATAAATAGTATAGTAAGAAAAGGATAGGATGGAAATAGGAGGTAAAGTAACTAACACATTTTAAAAGAGTGATGTTTAACAGCAAATGAGTGAGTTTGGGAAACACAGACCGGAATCCTTTGACACAAAGAGAGGATATCCTTGGTGGCAATTATCAAAACATTACAGCAAATATGCATAACCTTCTCTTGGGCCAACCAGGCAGAAGTTGTATTCATTCAAAAAGTGTAGACAACTTAAAAAAAAAAGAAAAACTGTCCATCGCATCTTTACCCCAGAATCTCCTTGTAACTACAATTGCTCCAATGACAGGATGTTAAGGGGAACAGTGATATTTAATTCAAGTATTTCAATAACGTATTATGTTAATAATAGTGTTTAGTTACCTCTCAGAAGTGGGAGGGCACAGTCCTGCAGCTCCATGACGACACCCTCCAGGACCGGCAACATGGGTGTAATGTCCAAAAGCAGCAAGATGACTGGCTGACAGAAGAAAGAGGGAAGGAAGTAGGATGAATATTATGAAATGAATAAAAACATGCTGGAATTTATTTTTTATGTACTTGAAATCTAAATTCCCATGTATAATGACAGGCCAGTGGGGAATTAGTTGTTTCTGGAACAGCGTGGAGGCTTTAAGCCATTTGGATCACTGACGATTGCATGCGCCAAATGGATCAAGTTCTTTTTAAGTTGGCCTAAGAGCCTCGTACAAGATCTATTTCATTGACTTCAAGGTGAACCCTGGCTCTCATCAAAGGGCGCTTAAACTTGTGAGTGCAATCTGATCACTTCTCAGTGGGGCAACATCTGTTCAATGTCACCCCTAGATTTGAACTGTAAACATTTGTGATATTTACAGCTGTTTTGCCTGGGGCTCTCTGTGTCCTGTGTGTCTCTTTTGATACTGACCTTACACTCACTAATGAGATAAGGGAATTGAGAGCACGACAAAGCCCTTCCTTACCTGATCTTTGCCAAAGACATCTCCCTTGGCAATGCTGAACAGCAGGGAATAGGCAATCTGCCCAGCAGCGCCGGTCACCAGAACTCTAATAGGCTCAGACTGCAAGGCAAAAGGTAAAAAAAACAGTGCTGTTAGTAATATTAGCATTGATTTCACAGAGGGGCATGACAGTGACCATTTAATTGTCCAGTGCACGTGGATGCCTGACTGGGTGTCTATTCTTGTCAACAGGATTTACTAAAGCAGGGGGGGGTCACTTTAAAAATAGACTGTTCTTTCCATACAGGTCTCAATGTTGCATATCAAATGCAGGATATACTTTTTCAAGGTCAGCCATCTTTGTCATTCAAACCCCTGAAAATGACTAAAGTAGCTACACAAGTGACAAAAGGATACATACAATGTAATACACTCCAACGGTTAGGTTGCGTCATGCTGTCAGCCAGACTGCAAGGATAGTTAAAATCAACTTTGACTAACTTTGCACAAGTTTGTGAAGTCCTCATCGTTACAATCGGAATAACTGTGGTTTAATCTGCGTTAGACATGCAATACCAAATACCTAATAAACCGATATATTCGCTAGCTGTAGGCTACTCACCATGTTCACACGGTAGGTTGAACTGCTCTCTCTCCCACTTATCGCTCAACCAGCAGGTCATTCCTATTTAAGTCCTGAGTGCATCACGACACTTGCAACCATCTGACGGCAGATTTTACATCCGGGTAATTGTAGTTTTGAATACTAGGTAATGTAGTTCTTTGTCAAAAATGAAGAAGTTATCCCGTTTAAAGCAAAATAAAAGGGCGCTATCGGTCATATTTGTACAACTTATGCTATACAACCAGGCTTTCATATGTAATGTCTGTTTATTGAGCTAACTAGTTGCGTTTCAGGGTCGCTAATGAGCTAGCTGGTTAGCATAGCCCTAAAAGTACTGCTTGTCGTTGCTTAGCGACCAGTTCGACCTGCCTCAGGAGTACAGTTTGTTTATACTTTAGCTTAGCCACTCGTTAGCAAGAAAGACCAACATGGGGACCGAAAAGAGGCATTAACACAAGTTATCGATATGAAACGTAACAATAACTGGTTGACGTCTCAGTGAATAGCAGGTTAAGTTTGGATAATGCTAGCGTACTAGAGCAAACAGCTACTTCACGTGTTGTCTTTATCAACCAAACATGGCTAACTATTTATGTTTGCTGTGAAAGGCATGATTTAGGTGTTATTAGTTTAATATCTACTGAAGCTGAGCAGCCAAGGGGAGAGCACACACTCTTTTACTTTGTTGTCTTCGTCACTGCAGTATTTGAGGTAAGTTAATGATAGCTAACTAACCTTTCTCATCTCTTTCTTCCTCTCTCAGTCTGAGTCTCAATCTTCATCCCTCTTCACTAGTGTCAATGCTGTTTATCAGTGGTATTGTATTGAAGTACATTTACTCAAGTGCTGTACTTAAGTACGATGTTGGGGTACTTGTAACTTAACTTGAATGTTTTTATTTAAGATACCTTTTACTTCTACACCACTACATTTATTTGACCAAATTAGTTACTAGTTACTTTACAGATTCAGATTATATTAGATTCTAAGGTTATTAAAAGTAGCTCTACATTTACCAGTTGCAGTGAACACAATGCATCACAAATAACAATGCAGTAATTGAATATACATGATTCTGAATTGAGCTATTGCACACAATAAGTACTTTTACTTTTGGTACTTTAAGTTTATTTTAATGCCAATTATTTAGTACCTTTTACTTAATAAGATTGCATGCAGGACGTTTACTTTAACAGTGTATTTTACACTGTTGTAGTTTTATTTTTGATGTGAAACTGTGCTTTTTTTTAGAACATGTAACAAGATAACAAGAAAACAAAACAAGAACAATTAGTTGCCAGCAAACAAATAAAGTGAATTCTTAATAAACAAACTACAAGGCTGACAAAGAGTAGGAAGATTTATATGGCAGAATATAGCCTAACTATGTACCTTAGTGTTTATCGAATATAGATACAATATCAGAACACTACATCTTTGGTTCTTCAGCAGCAAGAGATGCGTAAATGTTTCTTTCTACTATGCTGTTTTGAGTTGAGAGGACCCCTATAGAGGCCCAGTGTTAGGTGAGGGTGGTTATCAATATTTCATGGCCTCATTACAGGCTCATTACCTGACTCCAACAAAAAGCAGAGGAGATGGTGTTACACTGAGCTGGTGTCAGACTGTGGTCTCATGTGGGCTATAGCTTGGCTGGCTCTCTGCAGTGTTATGCAACTGGAAGGTCACCAGTTCAAGTCCCGGCAAGACCAAGTGCTACCGAGGTGTCCCTGAGCAAGGCACCGTTCCCTACACTGTTCAAAATGGCAGCAGACTGCTCCTAACACTTGGATGCAGAGAAACAATTTCCCCACGAGGGATTAATAAAAGTCCATCTTTTCTTTATGACGCAACCTAATTGTGGTTAAAACCGATTAAGTATTTGTGTTTGTGGCAAGGTTCTACTGCTTGAAATATTCACTGATCTATTATTCATCCATGTACAGTCGATCTATCATTCTTTCATCCTGATGAGTCATGACACAAAATTATCTCAAGCCACCACTTATTCTCCATCCAAAGCCCAAAACTGGCCCTAATGTTAAGGTCTCCACCTGCCAGTGACAGGGGCTGACACAGACCCTTCCCTCCTCAAAAGGCTGTGTGTGTAAGAGCCGCCTGATTCAGAGACGTTTGAAGCAGCTGCCACAGCCTGGCAGGGTTCCTCTCAGCTCACATTTACCCCTCTGTGTGGCAGCTTGTCTGTCAGGGGTGTCAGTATTGGACAAACAGGTGCTCAAAGCTGTCTGTTGGCTGCATGGCATACTGCTGGAGGATCATACTCTGGCTGTATTACATTTATTGGAGGGCCTTCAAATATGCCTTGCCCTACTTTTGATAGTATAGTCTTTTGTTCAACTCTTTTATTAACGGGGTATAATTACTGTCAGTTAGCTATTAACTGGTATGATATCTAAGGAACATGAATTACCTGTTTTGATTGTACGTGGTGCCTTTTCTTCACGCTATGAAGTTACACGATCAAGGTTGCCATGCAAAATTATGGATTAAAAGGGTTTTCCAGGCCTGAAAAGTAGTTTTTTCTACTAATCGACATTGAAAATACATTGCATTACTATAACGACTTGTGACAGTTCTGACTTAACATAAACTCGCATTTGAATGTCTGTTTTTGCTGTAACTGTAATGTACAAGTCAGTCTCCAATGTTTATTTTCCTCTCTGGCAGTCTCCCTAGTCAGGTTGACATGAGGGGATTAGGGCAGGCTTCGTCTTTGTAAAAAGGAAATCAGAATGAAACCAAAAACCGCAGCGCACACTGGCACCAGATATTATCATGTGTGCGGCAGTGTGCCACGCCGGCCTTATCCTCTGTGTGTGGTGCTGTGAAAACAATCGGCATTGTGGGTGTTTTGTCCCGCCCACCAGGCCAAATTGGAGCCCCGCAGAAGCGAGGGGAGTGGGCTCACGTGCACAAATCCTGAACTGCATACACGTAGTAACGCCTATACATGTGCACACATACACTTTACTGTCACGCTTAAAGGTGTAAATTCTCGATAAGTTCATGACACGTCTCTTTCTCTGTAGTGTCTGTCTCCTCTGCTGACCCCTCTCTCTGTCCTTTGTCCACTCCATCTCCTCTTTTGTTCCCCTTGTCATTTCACCTCCCTCACCTCCACCCTTTTCTGTCTCTCCTACTTTTATCTCCTCTTATTCTGCTCCTGCACTTGTCCCTGCAGAGTGCACCTGAGTGACCCTGTTACGTTGGTGTCTGGGAGGCAGATAGCCAGCACACCCCACCGGCCTCCATATCACCCTCTTATCTGCCGTGCTAGACCAAATAGCTCTCACAGTGTACAGGCAGACATGGAGTGATAGCAGGTGCCATTCACACGAGTACATCCACATTAAATACATAAACAACACCAACAAATTACACCATCATCACCGCTATCTCCCATCATATTCAACTTTTGTATCCCTGTGCCATCACCTTGTTTACTTTATGACATATCTGTGTCTAAGCGTTGTCATATTCCTGTCTTAGATAAGTTGATGAAGCTTTAGATCATAGCAGCAGATTAATTGTACTCTTTTTTTTGTCCCTTACATTGTCATGCAGACAGCAGCTCTGTTTAAAATGAGCCTACGTGACCTGGTCCTGTCAGTGTCTGATATGTGCAGTGACCGTGTTTTCACACTAGGTGTCAGTGTATGGCTGTGGTTGGTGATTCTTGGATGTCACTTATCATTGAAACTGGTGTTGATGGATATGTGGTGAAGACTCCGAAAACACTTGTTGCTGCAGCAGTCGTCTTGCCTTTAAGAACCGGGCGTATTACTGAAAAGTCAAATTACCAGTTATAATTATCATTCAGACATTTGGTACGTGTGCAAGCGAGTAAGTTCACACCCTTTTGCTGTTTTCCAAAAAAAGTGCAAGAGTTGGCTTGTGTTTTTGACGGCTAAACCACAAATTGTCCTAAAACCTGAAGTGCCTTTACCTCAGATATGGGACCAGTTTAAATATGTTTGCTTGCTCACACTTGTGTGGTGTAGCAATCTAAGCAAGCAGTGAAAAATGCTTCTTTGCTTTTTTAAACCAATGTTACAAAGTGCTTGAGGAGTAAAACAGGGAAAAGGAAAAAACTGAGAAAACAATATCTGAGATACTAAACGTGATGGCATTCACGCTGTTGAAATAATTCACTGCAGAAAAATGTTTGTCCCTCTGAAAGTTCATATATTAATGCAGCTTTCGTTTTAATTTGTGTCCTTTCAGTTTTTATGGTAAGAAAAGCGTGATCTATCTGAAACGCTCATGTCATGTGGAAATTAATTGCATACCTACTTTAAGTGGGAAAATGTTTCCGACATTGTCAAATGTTGTGAGCTGGCTCTTTGTTTCATGCTATTTAATTCCTGTATCACCAAAGTAGCACAAAATCAATCAACCTATCATTTTTTAATAACTCGATGGCTTACAAAATATATTTTCCAGTCCTATTCTTTTTTTTTTACAATCAACGCAGGACATTTTCTGTTTCTGAGCTGAGATATCCTGAATTGCTTGCTTCCAGAAATAGCCTGCAGATCCATTTGAGCTGTTGTTATTGTGCTGCTCTGGCACTTTTAGGACGCGGCCTGGAGGCGTACGACTGTTTCCAATCTGCCTTGATGTACCTACTACCTCTGTGAGTTTCTCTCTCGCTGATTGTCTGTGATTGAAACCTGAGAAGGACTTTGTTTCGAGCCAAGTATTGGCTTGCTTCAGGGGAAAAAAGACAACCAAGCCCTCAATCAAGAGAGAACACAGACCTCTGCAAACACACCAACTAACTTCCTGGCACTGATGCAGAACTATTCAATTAAATCTCATACTATACACACAGCGAGAAGTGTTTTCTCCTGTGAGTGAGCCTCAACCACACTCTTCCACTCTCTCTGTTTGCATAGGGAAATGGTCCGTGAAATGGGTTTGATGGAATCAAACTACATATTAAGACAAATACATATTTCACAGCAGTTGATGGACTGATTGATAGAGCTGTGTCTTCATTTCCTCTCTGAGTCACCACCCAGAAGATCTTTATCAGAGACAGTATGATGAAGGATTAAGGCTTGGCTTGTTTCAGACAGGAGAAGATGTGTTAACTTGTCTTGTTGTGATCTTTAATAGTTCTTGGTGTGAGTTTCTGAGGTTCTTAATATGCAAATATTGTTTTGCGCGAGTTTGTGTGCTTCTACAGTATCTGCCACAAGGGGGCACCAAACTGCCACATGTTCTGCATCTGTCCTCCCTCTCCATCCCCTCTGCTGTAGACATCAACAACACACTTTTTTGAAAACTCACTGAAGGATGACCGACAATGCGGCAGCAAGTGTCCTGGATCCACAGCCAGGGTGGAAGGTGGTGCACGTTTGTATCAATGCAACTGTTGTTGTTTTAGCATAACAAGGCTGGCTGACAAACCCCCCTGACCCACACCAACCTCAACACCTTTCATTAACCTCAAAACCCAAATCCATCCAACTGGACCAGTCACAGCAACTTGCTGCCGATGCTGGCGGTCACACGCCTCTGCACAGCCATAATGGGCCGCCGCACAATTGTGGGGGGGGGGCCACGTAACCAACAAAAATTCCCCGTCCTTCCAAGAGGCCGGCCGCCTGCAAGTTACCAGCAGCACCGCTCGTCCCTGTTTGTCTGCACTCACTAAAAGGAAAGAATGTTTTCCCCCACAACAT